GAAGCTCGGCGGCCGAGACTTTTGCGCCCAGTGGGAGGTTGCGCGCGTTGCGCAGTGCCTTGATCGAGGTGCTATCCGGCGGGAGTCGGTGCGGCAAGGCATCGTCGCCGTCAAGGTCCTGCACCACATCCAAGAGGGGGCGCGCCACCCGAAGCGAGTCGGTGAGCACAGCGTACCCGGCTTCGTTGTAGAAAGAAATATTGTTGACGTAGCTCTCAAGAGTCACAGTGTTGGAGGTTTTATCCCATAGCATCAGCGTCGGCAGCATCGGGGTCGACGAACTCAAGGACGTCGCCGCGCCACTGGGCCGTCACTTCGAGAGGCGCTGGCGACGTCCTGTACGCCAATACTAGCGAGTCGACATCGGCAAGTACACGCTACACGGACGCCTCGCATCTTTGCATCTTTCAGCTCGGCAAGGAGGTATGCGATTCCAGGCGGCGTCAACTCGGACGGCGATGGCGATGGCGTCAAGTGCCAACCACTGACAATGGTGCCCAAAACGGCCAAGTCATTGAGCTCGAGCGACGAATGCGCAGCAACCAGCTCATGCCAACGACAACGGACGAGTACGTTTTGACCTCCAGCGCGGCGGCCAGAACAAACCTCATGGGGCAGGCGGTTGCAAGCCAGAGTAGATCAGCTATCACACGAGGCAGAGGACGTCGTGCGGGATCAGCGTGCTCATCATCTTCGCCAGAAGCAACTCTGGTGCTTGGCTCACTTGCCCATTGGGATGGTATCCGTACGATCCTCCACCGTATCCGGATCGCCGGCTCTCAAATGGTCCGGGCGGGTGGCATTTGGTCGACGAACGTGAGTTTGAAATCGAATCGCCCATACTCGGCACAGTGATAGAAGACGCTTTCGGGTGCAGAGCAAACCGCGTTGCGTCGTCGCTACAGGCCTAGGACGCGCGCAATGCTCGACAATACATACAAAGCGCTCTAAAAACGTTTAAAAGCAAATGCTGCAGCGACGATCACACTGGACCAAGAGCGGTACTATCAAGGAGCATAATTTTATGCTCCTTGCTACTATACAACGCCCAGAGCCGCTGTCTTACGTGATAGGGACGGCTTTTGCGCTGCCAAGGCCCGGATTGTCCGCCCTCCAGTGACACCGAAACTCAGACACTCGCACACAGACGAGATGCCGAAGATCGGGCACTCGCACACAGCGAGATGCACATACGTGCTAGCAACTACACCGCCTCTTCTGGTACAGCTTTCGGGAATAAATTTGCTGGCGCTATCTTCGCGCAAGTATTCGAGAGCGGATCGCAAAGTTCCCCCACAGTTTCCGTCAACGTGGGAATCGACGAATGAAGACTTTGTCTGACCAACCGCGTTGATTGTTACCATCTCGCCGCTTAATAGCAGCGCCAGTGGCAGACACGTCCGTGGACCCCCGTCGTGCACACGTTGCGGCACAGCTCAAACTCGCCGTTCGGGTCCGGAAGGCCACCGGGTGCGGCTTCGTTCTTGGTCGTATCAACGTCCGGGGCAGCGGCCGCAAAGACACTGAGCAGCGTCATCAGGATCATCGTCTTGAGCATTGTAGCAGAGGTGGGCAATTGCAAAGTGAGCTCCAAACGCTCCATGGGGAGAGCGGTGAGTGCAGGTAGCGAGCGAGTGCTTTGACTGTTGCCGAGAAATGCGCGCACTTTGATGTCGACAGACGCGGAGCCATCAAGTCCCATCAGGATGCCCAAACGTGAGTAGATTTGAATAGTGTACGACCCGCTAACGATGAAGACGACGATTCCTGATGACGCTGCTCAGTGTCCTTGCGGCGGCTGCCGACGTGGCCCCGGACGTTGCTGGCAGCAACGTCAGGGGCGTCATCCTGATGGGACTTGATGGCTCCGCGTCTGTCGACATCAAAGTGCGCGCATTTCTCGGCAACAGTCAAAGCACTCGCTCGCTACCTGCACTCACCGCTCTCCCCATGGAGCGTTTGG